TTAAGAATTCTTGAATTCATGACCAAAAAACTCACTAATCAAAATGAAAGAACTACGGTGTGGGTGTGGATGTAAATGTAGATTAGATGCATACACACATCTACACGCACAACCATCCATATTAATTTGCCAGATTTCAAGAATGGACATTGTTTATTTTATTTGTCGTTGAACAAGCAAGAAATATCTGCGTACAAAAATGTTTTGTTACAAGCAATTTTTCTATATGAAGTTTTAAAAGTTTTGATTGAAAGTATAGAATTGAATGGAATACCCATGATTTATATTAAGATAGATTTATTGTTTAATTTAAAAACAATTAGACAGAATAAATTCATAGTTCAAAATGAAAAAGTCACAAATTTGTTGTAGCAACCATTCTTGTTCGATCAATTATGTTGTTCTGTCGAAATACTATACCGTTCAAAGGCATTATAGCTGTACGGCGTTGTCTGAATATGAGTGTTTTAAATTTTTTCAGAACTTCAGGCATTGATATAAGACAAAGCATAGGTGTAATGAGTGGTACAATGTAAACAAAAAAATTAAATGTATCTAATTGTACAAAAAGAAAATTTGGACTATAGATTTCTCCAATCTGAGCTACCGATAATGGGATCCAAACAGCAAGATAAACAAAAGAAATTGTTCCTAATTGAAAAGCCATTTTTCTTTGACGACGCCAATTATTTTCAATACGACCAACAACAATCAGTTTTTGATGAATAACACGTATGACAAGAGCAAAGTTAAAAATGCAAATAACGATTACTGGAGAGATAACATCAATAAAAAGATTCACGGCACCCCATTTTGTAAATAAAAAGCATGGTAGACCGCATAAAAGTCTATCAAAACGTGGTTTAGTTACACACATTGGACTAATTACAATGTTAAACATATTATACGATGGACCCCACATAGAACACATCAATAAAGGAACTATACGAAGTAATCGTCGTTTATACATTCCAATATTTCGAATAAAATCATTATGAAATATGAATAGATGACGTTCGATAGATATCCAAGCCATGAGAAAACTATGAATCGCGTTTAATGAAAATTCATACCACATCCACCATATACAATAAGATGTTGTAGCCGGTTGAACAATTCCATTCAAATAAAAGTAACGCATTGGCAGTGGAATTTGAGTAACCACTTGAACAAAATTAATTACAAGCAAAAATAGTATAGAATAATTGTGTTCTTTCAAACCAGCAAGTCCATTGTAAACAAAATAAATAAAAATTACAATTGAGATAAGAATTGAAGGAATTTGGAGTGTAAGTAACACAATGAACTGAATTGAATTCATCAAGGAATCATCCACTGTCTTATTTGTTTCGTTCGTCAACATTGTTTCTATTACAGAAATTATTTTTTCTGAATTGAAATTTCTAAAATAAACTCATTATAAAGAGTTTGTTCGTGAACTAAATACCATCATAATAGTATAAATTTGTCTCCTAACATATTTTGATTTTAGTTGAAAGTTATTTTTATCGGCATACTTACTCAGTAAAAATGATTTCCACCTCAGTATTCGATGGACGTCATCGAAATCATAAATAGATTAACTCTACAATAAAATTAGAGTTTTCAAAAATTATATTCGACTTGAAATTAATTGTAATCTGATTTTAATCGGCATATACCTTGATTTTGCTACAGAACAATCGACGACAAAATATCAACTTTCATATATTTTGACTTAAGTTGTTGTGCGCATATCTTTCATTCTAATTTTAATTAATGTCATGAAGATGAGTTCGAAACCAATAAAATGTTTATAAATGAAATAAAATTTTTACAAGGAATCTATCTTTATTACATATAACCGATTGATTTTAGACTAAGCCTAGAATGAATACTATCGTTAGGTCTTCATTCTCAAGTTATAATCATTTTAATAACGTTTCGATCTATAATATTAAGATACACTGTAATTAACGGAAAGTTTGAGTTTTAGTCTGGAATTTCCTACTCAAAAAAATCTCATTTAAATCACTTTTTCATCTGGTATGTGAAGCTCTTTATAATAAAGTAAGGTTTCCCAGCTCTTGATAAAGACAGAATGTTGTTTGTAGAGAATCTTGTAAGTCGGGATGAAAACGTATGATTTAATTGAGATCTATAGGACATTGTATCAATTCGTGAACCTTGATGAGTGAAAAATTTCAGATGTGAATTCGAGCGTTTAATCTTTTATGGTGAATCTCAAAATTGACTAAAAGAAATAGTAAAATAGTAATAGCTCAGAAGTGAATACACAACAACACGATCGACTCAAGTCTTCATCTAATATCAATAAATAGTATTCGACAAAAAAGAGCTTACTTGAAAAATTTCTGATCCTTCGGAACGATAACTTGTCAATGAAACTACATAAACTATAGGTTGTAAGCTTGTTCAAGTACAGCCAGGAGAAAAGAGCATTATTTAAATATTGAATACCGACAATGCTTCTTGTCGTCTAGTCGTCTCAAAATATATTCCCACATGATTCCTTTATCTAAAACTATGAAAAATAAAGAAACAAGCAACAGTGGAAGCGATAATCTTAATATTAAAACACAAAAGATGAAACTATAACTATGAACCAAAGCTACACTGTTGTTTAACAGGTATAATAACAGTAATAAATGTAAAGAATTGAATATAGCACCAAAATTTGAAAACTTAATAGAAAAGATGAACTTATTTAAATATAAAGCATCGCAAATGCAGGTTTTATAAAAAAAAAAAACTTTCGTCTTTTACGTTTTTGTGATGAATATTGTTAATAAAAAAATTAACAATATTCTTTTATCTGTATGTTTTGTTCCATATTGTTAAACTTTTAGTTAATCCTAGGTGTTATTATGTGGTATGTGTTATGTAGATTTTTGTGAAGAAAATTATCTCTTTCTCATCATTATTCTTCATTATTGTTCATATCGAGTAGATCATCGTAAGCCATCTTCTTTTGTATTGATTCTCCTTACGAGAATGTATTTAAGTTGGTGTTAAACAGATAAAATATTTTGTTTGAGATATAGTGTTTCTTGGTCTCTTTTTATAGTTTATCTTATAAATAAAATGTTACTATTAGAATTATATTATTTATTTTCCAATATATAACAAACACAGATAATCATAAAAATTATATCAACAATAAACATGAAAATTAAAATAATCATCACTTGTAGAAAATATCTATTATAGAACGAGACATAAACGAGAATCAATATTTTTGTAAAGGATGGATAAGATATGTTATGTCTCATATAAACATATATAAGAAAATTTGATTATCAAAACATGTAAAATCATTTTAATTGAAAAACTAAAAATCTATCAAACTCAATTTAATGTTTTATATTTACAGAAAAACTAAATTTTTTATTAGTTAAGTATAATCAAAAAGAACTTATTTATTTTTTTATGTACTTGATTATTCATAAGAAATTAGAAATCCAAAAAAAGCTTTCTTTGTATTTCAAGCAACTTGGTTTTTTTTCTAAAATTATCTTTCAAGAAGATTTGATTGGACGTAATTCATAGAAATTATTTTCAAAACAACTTAAATCTTTTCATATAAAAATAAGTTCTGATTTATTAATTATGTCTTAAGAAATTGGCCTAAATGTTTTTGTAGACTGGAATCGGATAATTGGTTTGTTTTTATCGTCTTAAACATACTTAATCAAGTCTATATTTTCTTCTTTTACCGATTCTACACCTTTCAATCGGTTCTCAGAAACTTCCTGTCACTTTCTATTCATCCTACTTCTAGATAAATGATCGCATGATTAAGCTTTTTTCAAGTATTGGAAATATAATACGTGATGCAGAATAACGAACTCTGCTATCTCAAAACTCGTCCTTTATCATTAAAAACATTCTCAATAGTTCTCCGACGAATAGAGATCGACGATTGCAAAAAAGTCGAAAACTGAAAATGAAACCGAAACTATAAATTTATTAAAAAGATGAAAAATCTCGTGAGTCTATTTCGAGAAATCTTGACTATTTAATATTTAAGATTGACAATTTCAATAGATTT